GATATGTGATATGTGATCATAGTGACAATGAGGATCAAAAGAATAAGACCCCACCTACACAGGCTTAGAGACTGATCAAGGACCCCATTTTTACCTAGCAACCCACCTGCCATAAAGGAAAAATGTGAGTTTCTCAAACAGTTTTTGAACATCACTGATGAAATCACAATCACAATGTTGGCAAAAACCGCTAGCATGTTGCTGCAGTCACACAGAGTTTGCATAGAAGTGACATACATACCTACACTGTTCATTTACTCTCCTAGCTGTAGTGAAACTGCAAAGTGCAACACAAATCAGACACAAACATTTGCAAAGGAAAAGCTGGCTGCAACACTGAGGCACAACTTTTCCGTTTCCAGTTGGTGTTGCACTTTTTCGAGTTTTGCTGCCAATAGCCTGGTCACTAGCAAGTATTTGCAACCAAACAACTAACAACCAAAGCAACAGGAGGTTTTTGGTGCAACACCTTTTTTGGAACCAGTTTTATCTATCGAGAGACAAAAACTTCCTGGAACCACTTCCAACCTATAGGGAATACATGCTTCCTGAGCAACCACCAGTTGCATAACATGTCGTATGCTGGATAAGTCTCTACCAATGTGCGAATGAATTCACAGGAGAAAGTTCAGTACACTGTTATAAGCTGGACAGAGCTCTCAGATGTTGATCCAGGGAGTTGCTGGAGCCACTTACTAGCTTGTGGATCACTGCACTGAGTGCTCTGATTACCACTGGGACCACATTTACCTTCACCCTCCACATCTTCTTAAGCTCTTTTCTGAGCCCTTGGTACTTCTCCAGCTTTTCGTGTTCCTTCTTCCTGATGTTGTTGTCATTCAGTATTGCTATATCTATCTCTACGGCCGTCTTCCTCTGCTTGTCCACCACTACTGTATCCAGTTGGTTAACATTGCCGTTTTTTCTGTCTGCATCTGGAAGTCCCACACAATCGTAGCTTGGTCATTTTCCACCACCCTTGGGGGAGTCTCCCATTTTTACCTCGGGACTTGCAGGCCATACTCGGCACAGATGTTCCTGTACACTATGCCGGCCACTTGGTTATGGCGTTCCATGTATGCCTTGCCTGCTAGCATCTTGCACCCTGCTGTTATGTGCTGGATTGTCTCTGGGGCATCTTTACACAGCCTGCACCTGGGGTCTTGCCTAGTGTGATAGACCCCAGCCTCTATGGATCTTGTGATGGGACCTTATTCCTGTGCTGCCATGATTAGTGTTTCTGTTCTGTTTTTCAGTCCAGCTTTGTACATATCATATAGGAGCCTATCCTTCCCTGATGTTTCCTCTTCTTGTTTGGGTTTCTGCTGTCTCAGCTATTCACTGAACATGTGGTCGGTTGTGGCCATCTTCCTGATGTATTCATGGATGTTCGTTGTCTCATCCTGGACCGTGTTTCTGATACTCACTAGTCCTCGGCCTCCTTCCTTACACTTAGCGTACAGTCTCAGGGTGCTGGATTTCAATTTCAATTTCAATTTCAATTTTATTTCTATAGCACATTTAAAAGTCACAGGTACAACAAAGTGCTTCACAGACGAGCCATATTTGCAGATTTACAACAAAAGAGAACAGTCAACAACAAAAAATACAGTTATAGAATGGTAATATTACAACAAGCACGAACCGGAAGGAAATTATACTAAGTGGTTTGAAAGGCAAGCTTAAACAAATGGGTTTTTAACCGTGATTTGAAAGATTGAGTAGTTTCCGACGCACGGACATCAACCGGCAAGCTGTTCCAAAGTTTTGGTGCAGCAAAAGCAAAGGCACGATCCCCTTTCGTCTTTAGTCGAGACATTGGTTGCATTAGGAGCCCCTGATTAGAGGATCTGAGTGCCCTTGTGGGGATATATAAATTAAGAAGGTCAATCAGATAGCTAGGTGCCAGGTTATTTAAAATTTTAAAAGTGTATAGAAGGATTTTAAAAACAATACGGTATTTGACAGGAAGCCAATGAAGGTTAGCTAGAATAGGAGTGATATGTTCCTGTCTTCTAGTGCCGCTTAAAAGGCGTGCAGCGGCATTCTGGACTAATTGTAGGCGTTGGATGAGGGACAGTTGCAGGCCTAGGTAAAGAGAATTACAATAGTCCAGCCTAGAGGTTATAAAAGCATGAATGAGCCTTTCAAGGTCCTTGTGTTGTAGGTAAGGCATTGCCTTCGAAATTTGGCGTAGTTGGAAGAAGCTGGTTTGAGTTTAAACCCACCATGCATGGTCAGGAGCTTCTTGGTCTTGATGTAAGCAGCTTCTATCTTCTACTTTGGCCAGCTTATTATCCCAGCAGGGTGCCTAATCAAGGGCAAGGTGTAGGTATTGATCGTCTGGATCTTGTTATTCCCATTCAGCTGGCTCCTGAGGACTTGCCTGACCCTCTGCAGGTATGTGGTAGTTGTAGCTTTCCTTGCAGCTTCTTTGTGGTTTCCATTTGCCTTTGGGATTCCCAGGTAATTGTAGCTGTCCTCAATGTCTGCAATGTTGCCTACTGGTTGTGTGATCCCATCAGTTCTGTCTATCTTCCCTCGTTTCATTACCATCCGACTACACTTCTCCAGTTTGAATGACATTCCAATGTTGGTCACTGCAATATATCCTTGTGGTGTGGATCAGTGAATCAATGTCATTCACTCCTGGCATACAGCTGGATGTCATCCATGTACAGGAGGTAGCAAGCAGACAATTGCTGGTAGATCCCACACTTGATGGTGACTTGTGCTATTGGCTTGAAGTGTGTGTGTGTGCGTTTGTGTGTGTGTGTGTGTGTGTGTGTGTGTGTGTGTGTGTGTGTGTGTGTGTGTGTGTGTGTGTGTGTGTGTGTGTGTGTGTGCTTATAAAGCCACAGTGTTCCATGCTCACACACACACTAATCACACAAAATTCTGCCATTACAAAAGGATAAATAAATATTCTACTGAAATAGATTTTTTTTAAAAACAGTCTGCTTTGATGATAGGCTTTTCCTGCCTTCCTGCAGAGCATCATCTGCAGCGCATCACCCTCTTCTACCAACATCTGCAAATTTATGGACATGGAGGATGCGTCCTGCTACTGAGAGTAACCGCAGACATTTCGAGCTTGACAGTCAATAAATGAAGCTACTTTCTGTTTGCTTACTGACAAGGGGTCGCCACAGCAGGCAGCACAGCATATTTGATGTTTTTTTTGCCAAATGCTCTTCCGGACTCCCCCACCCAGAGGAAGGGATATGCAGACTGGAGGTGAGAGAGAATCCCCCATCCCTTGGGTTATCCTGATATCAGTAGCCAATACTTGTGCTGGTGCTCACTGGATTTCTATGGTGAACCAAGTGTTGCTTAAAGACAAGGCAACACCAAGGGTCATTTTAACCTTTCTGTTTTTCTTTAATCATCTTAAGGACGCCACACTAATATGTGAGCTTTAAATATGTTAGTTTGGTAGCTTTTTCCTTTGCCAGGTTAGCTGTTACCTCGTAATTCCAGTCTTACTGCACAGCTGAGATAACATCTACTCGCTCCGGCTATATTTTTAGTTTAAAAATGTGAAAGCAGTGTCAGTTTTTCCATTATTTTATACTTTTGGTTTGGAACATGTTTTACAGTATATTCACTCATGAGCCAGCATTAAGGGAGAAAAGCAGCAGTCCTTTATATTCCAGCTGCAATTGAACAGCTTGTATGGTTGCATTCTGTCACTGAATACTAAGTAATAAAGTCTGCAGCCTAAACTCTGCTAATAGGCCCATTGTTACCTCACTGTTTGTAATCTCTCACATTATTTCTCTCCCTTTCTCAAGACTGAATACAGTGGAGCAGTCTCAAAACTATTTGATTGTTCACAGTTCTGCATCCACACACAATAAACCAGTGAGTAAGGAGGAAAAAGTTGTTTGGATACTGCTAAAGATCTTATACTAAATCATATAAAACACCATTTCCCTTTACTATACAGTATCTCCTTTTTGTTGTCCATGCAGTAGATTTATTGAACACCAGCTATATGTAAAGTTTATTGCAATATATTATCATTTCTATTACAGGGCTAATACAAATTAATCCTGTGACAGACTAACGACAAGTCCAAGGTGTACCCTGCTTCTTGCCCTATGGTAGCTGGGATGAGTACCAGACTCCCCGCGATCCTGAGTAGGATGTAAAATGGATGGATGGATATTACAGTTAGAAATGGTATTATAATTATTACATCATTTTTATGGAATATTAACACAATAGCGTTTTTGTTTATTCATCAAATGTGTAAAAGGGACTAGAGCCCTTTAAAAAGTAATGGTATGCTTAACTGTTCTCTGACACACATGTAATCTTTCTTAATGCTACTTTATTCCTTCAGTTCATCATTTACTTTGCACAAAAACAAAATTTTCCTACATTGGTTCTTACTATTACACAATGTTTCACACTTTTACATTTAACTAATTCATTCACGCTTCCATTCGCTAAACAGAAACTTGACACCAAACATGTAATCACCTTACAATGGCTGATTGTCTCCTGTCTGACTGCTGATGACCTCTCAAGCAGGGAAGTGTTATTTTAGGAATAAGGCCGTATAGACCACACATGCACACGCAGATATACTTACACATACAAAAGCACAAACAAACACATAGGACAAACCTGATCTAAGACTTCCACTCATGGGAACTTAAAGAGCCATTTAACTAAAACCAACTTACTACTCTGAAACGAGCACATAGGATGGCGCAACCTGTAATTTAGGTACAGCAAGCTGGTCATATTATACGTTTTTCATGAGTCTAAGCAGTATGAATAGGGGTGTGAGGAAATTTTCTGCTTTTTTTTACCTCACAAACTTTTAATTTTGTTTGTGAAGAGTCACTGAAAAATCTTTTTAAGCTTAAAAGGACTCAATCTGATTCCTCAGAAATTACACAGGTTATTTTCATGCTCTGGTTAAGTGCAGTCGGTATGCTTTATAAAGTCCTTTTACTCAGGGACATCTGTCTGAAACTGTGTAGGTTTCATTTCATATCATTTCCTATTTCATTTCAAACAAGTAAGTGGATGTAGTAAGTAAGATATTTCAGACATTATTCCGATACAGAGGAGGAGATACTGGAATTATAATTAGTATCTATGCATGCATTTGTGACTTCGTTTGACCTTCCCATTGCTCACAATTTGAATTTGTTCACACTGCAGATGAGGAGATTACTTCTCAACCTAAAAAGAGAGCTTGTTTGGGGACTGAGACAGCGAAAGATGGCACAGTGTGGCGTGAAGAACAGGTGGGGACCTGTCTCCCTTTCACCCCAATAGAAGCGTACGCTGCAGATGGAGAGCCAACGGCTAAGGCCAGGAAAAGTATCTCGAGTCGCCTTCAGACCTTCCTGTGTTTCATCACTCTTGACATGCTTCATAGCATTCAAGAATGGACTATTCAACATGCACAGCAAACGGAGCATGTTCATTGGTTCATGGACCTCCCTGAACTAATGGCATTTATTGCAATTGTCATCTTGCGGGGGATTACTAGGGCTCCATCACTACGTGACTGCTGGTCAGCAAACCTGGGAAACCCACAGATCATTGGAACTATGCCGCGAAAGTGCTTCCAAGGCATCATGCAACACCTACGCTTTGATGACAGGTCCACCCGCAGTGATCGAGCAAAGACTGATAAGTTCGCTGCAATTTCCAGTGTGTGGGGATCATTTGTCACCAATTGCATCACGTGCTACAACCCTGGTCTACATATCACCGTTGATGAACAGCTTTTCCCATCAAAGACTCGGTGCTGTTTCCTGCAGTATATTGCAATCAAACCTGACAAGTTTGGGATCAAGTTTTGGGTGGCTTGCGACCTAAAATCCAAGTACATTTGCAATGTCTTCCCATATCTTGGCAAGGACCCCAGTCGTCCCACTGGGGAGAGACTTTCTGAAAATGTCGTAATGAGGCTGATGGAACCATTCCTAGACAAGGGCAGAAATGTTACCACGGACAATTTCTTCTCATTGCTGTCACTTGCACAAAAACTTCTTAGACAGAAAACCACCATCCTCGACACAGTCAACAAGATTCGCCGGGAAATTCCTCAATCCGCTAGACAGACAGATTGCAATGAATTCACCACTCAGGTATGTTGTAGGTCTTTTGTGGTTCTATGTTTATGTGTTTCATTGTGTGTAAAAGTGCTATGGAAATAACAATTTATCTTATTTCTTAGGTGTTTTCAACCTCTGCTGCCACGCTGACGGCGTATGCGGCCAAACGGAAGAAGACAGTCTATATTCTTAGCAGCATGCACAGCGTGGTTCAGACTGATAACACCACCAAAAGGAAGCCAAACACTGTCACCCTTTACAACACCACAAAGTGTGGCGTGGGTGTGATGGACCAGATGGTGCGGGAGTACACTGTCCGCAGAGGAACACGGCACAGGCCAGTTGCCGTGTTCTATAACATGATTGACATGGCAGCACTGAATGCACATGTGCTGTATCAAGCATGCACCGGGACGCAGGAAAGACGGGTGGACTTCCTGGTGGAGCTTGCAAGAGAGTTGGCTCACTCTCATGTGGCTGGGAAGAAGGCAAGAAAAGAACAGTTGCTTCGGACACAACCCTCCACACCGACCCCTGGAAAAAGAGCCATGTGTCAGGTCAAACACAAATGCAAGAACAATCATGCCACTGTGCGATGTGTTCACTGCTACAGATACACATGTGGTAAATGCAGACTACAGATAGCATGGCAGTGCCAGGATTGTGAGTGATTGCTGAAAATGTTGAAAAGTACTCACTCACTTTTTATTATTATTTGTAAATATGTGTACAAATGGTTGGTTTTTTGTACTGTTTTTATCAATAAATCTCAGCAACAAAGGAAATACACCCATGTGTGTTGATTTTTACCTAAGATGGCAAATTGAAACACAAGTTTCCTTGTGGCTCAGGAAACTAACCACTCCAAGCTGCTCAGCATGGCCCCACCTTATTTACATAACAAAAGCAGCTGTTCACAGGTGATTAAGGATATTAGCTAAAAGCCTACCAGCCATTTGGCTGGAAGGCGGGTTTTAAAGGTAGAAAAGCCAAATAGCTGCTCTCTGGGACTTCCAGTGATTTATGTCATTTTTGCATGTTCAATCCCTAGATGAACATGGTGGTTACCGCAACGTCTTGCAATTGGTCACTGAATGCAAAAATCACGGAGCAGTCACTGATTTTTCTAGTCATGATGTCATGATGTCCTAGTTTTAATCTAGTATGTCTGACCCATAACCCTGATACTAACCATTGGTTTATATTGTTGTACCTATGTCCATCTTTTTCTACTCTTTATTAACGAAATAAAATAGACTGTAAATTATTTTCTGGTCAAATGTATGACATATATCCTTAATAGAGATCAATGATATATCTGTGGGGAAAAATAGCATCAAACGGGTCAAAAATCCTGAAGAAAGGTGGTGGGATTGATATCGCCTAAGCACAGACATTCCCATTATTGTTGATGCATGTCACTTCTATTCACTTTGACTTTGAGTATTTTGTGGCCAATTTCTGATCATTTTGAGCATTTAACTTGATTTATTACACTTCCTCAATGTGCTACATCCCTGTTTCAGAGTCAGGAAGCATGTAATTGGCTTAAGTGTCCTGGATGTTTTCTTAGAGACACTGGAGGGGGAAAAAAAGCCAGTCACGCATGCTTTCACATGAAAAGACACCACGATGGAGAAACAAAATGAAAGACATAAAATGAGACAGACAAGAAAAGTAGCCAGTGAAATAACCATTGTTATAATTAAAATTGGAAAATGTCTTGGTGGAGCTGAGCCATAATTGATCTTGCGTGTGAAGCATCGGGTTGATAACATGGAACAACCACAGCTGTAGACTTACTGATTAGCTACAGTTGTGGTTTTATCATCTCAAACGATTATGTAAAAGTGTTTGAGGGAAAGTGGTTAACATAGAGATCTTCAATCCAGAAAATACAGAAAATTAAGAGGCAGAAGAATGAAAAGGTTTTCAATATTCCTCTTGCCCACACTGAGCTTTTTACAACTCATGTGAAAACCAGTGATATCTGTTTAATGTTAAGCACAATATGAAGAGATATATCATGTTTCATAAAATAAAATTTGTAGCCACTAATACTGGTACTGTCACTAAAGATCTCCCTGCAGAGATGACCTCAATGAACTCAAACAGAGGTTTCAGCCAAGTGACGCACATAAATGCAGCCTTAAATGTTGGACAGAATATTTGGCAATGTGTTAAGGGTCACAAAAACACACGAAGACATATTTTGCAGCTAGCTTGGACAATTTGGTTCATGTGGACCATTATGACCACTGGGGGTTTCTCTTTATCGCATAGAATGGCCAAGAAAATATTTTGCTAGTAAAACCTTTAATGAACTAGAGGAAGTGGGGCATTGTTTCCTGGGATAAGGGTGCTAATTTGTCTCACATCTTTAGTGTTTCATCTTCAATGATACACTTGTTTCTACTTCTGTTCATTCTGGTTTGCATCTCCATCCTTCAGCCACTTCCAGCTCTGCCTCCTTTCTTTTTGTAAGTGCTACTGTCTCCAAACTCTTCCTTGCATCTTCCCCCTTCCACCCGCCTCTCTCTCATTCACACACATTTATGCTGTAAACATAAAATTCATGTGTCAGTTAAAATCTGTGCTGAAGAGGGTCTGAATACTTTGACCAATTTGGAAAATGTTTTGGAACATTTGGCAAATTGAACATTTGAACCCATTTCTTTAGTTAAATCTATTTTAAAAATGCCACCAATAACAGAGTTTGACAGGAATGAACAAATATATTTTCACCAACATCTTGATTCCCAAATAGCTATTAGCTAAGATATATTTCTATTTCTGCATGGTGTGGAGAGCTCCTTACAAAATAAAAAATAGGAAACTGGACAAGTGAAGGACAAATGAAATGTCAGGGCTAAAACTTTTCAGTATCCGAGTTATGCCTAATTACACAAGGCCTGCCAAAAGATCTTATGGAAAGATTAATCTAAATTTGAGGCTTTTGGTTGAAATCACTATCAGTACGTACAGAGCAGATCAGAAGAGGTGCACAACAGTGAGTCTCTGCACCGATCTTTAAACATGGAGGGTCTGTCATGGTTTGGTGTTGCCGATTTTGTTGAAATTGATGAAAATTACAAGAGAAAAAAAAGTACAGAAAAGTACTTTCAGATTGCGATCCACCATGTACCATCTGGAAAGTAATTGGCAACAGCTTTATTTTTCAGGTTTTGGGGGGAGGGGGGGGGGGGGTTAAACACTGTCAGTCATGGATTGGCCTCCCCAATGCAGCGTGGAATCAGCTTGACAACAGAACAAAAGGCAGTCAGCATCCAAAGATGAGCTCTGAGTATATTTCAAAAAGTCTGGAGAAGCCATACCTGAAAACAAAGAAATTACAAGCTTTCCTAAGATAGTTCAGGCTGCGTTGTAGAGTTAAAGGTGGCCGTTCACTTTTAAGCTTGTTAGAAATGTACAAACCATATTAACCTAATTTCCATGTCTGTTTGCACATTTCAACAAAGCTGCTGCTCCTACTTCCCATTTCGAAATGTAAGGAAGTGGCTCAAGACTTGTGCACAGTGCTGTACATACAGACAAAGATACTGCATAGCCCCACACATTTAGTGCATCTGTTTTCTTTTTTTCATACACTAAATAATGATACTTTCAAGAGGTTTTCCCACAAGAGTTTAATCTTGCCAGAAACTCACTTAACTTCTTATTGGCATCGCTGTGGAGATGATAGGACATTGTATTTCTGATTTATATGCTGGCATCTGCCATTGCTTCATCTTCAGACGGTTAGCAGCTGGAAAACAACAGAAACTCCATAAAACGAAGCCCAGAAATTCTTAAAGATTATTAGATTTCCTTCTTATATAGCCAATACCAATAGAAAGTTTACTGTTTTTTGCATAAATTATATGCGTTCAGATAAGAAATGTATTCCCATTGTAAGGATAATGAGATAAATTAAATTAAACTTGTACTATACACCAAATGTCAACTGTACACTGTACATTTCCTTTCAAATGGTAATATAAAAGAAATGGCCCTAAAAACCATAGTTTAAATCATCCTGAACCCTGTAAGATCAATGCTTTTTTTTACTACTTATCTATACTGAAATTTTCATACAGAAAGAAGCATGTTAATGCAGTCTCATTAGACGTGGGCCCAGGCAGCTCTTTGACTGTGACTTGATGCAATAATCAGACTGATCCCTCTCACAGCTTGTCATACATTGAAATTTATGCGGGACGTGTTGCAGTCTGATTTTAAAATATTTAGTGTATTAAAAAATAAAGCTATGACATTGTATCCACTGAGCTCCCTCAGTCCAACATGAGAAATTCCTGTCATGATTTGAAGGTTAAAGGATTTAAATGCAGGACTCAGAAACAGGTTGTAGTAAACAAAAAAAAACAGAACCTTTCATTGAGGTTGACATCAGAGTCCCAAATTACAGCAACCTCGGAAACATGTGCATGCAGAGGAAAAACAGACAGTAAGAATGAAAGGAAAGACCGGATTATACATGCACATAAAGGTAATCTGGAGCAGGTGGAAAAAAAGACATGGCTGAACATAATCAGGATAATCACACACAAGACATAAAACTAAAGTCAAGCCAGAAACTAACAACATCAAACACAAAGTAACAAACTACACACAGAAGTAAGACACTGACACTCAGAGGAATACTTGGGGAGGGGAGCGGAGGGGAGAAAGAATCCGATGCAAATAATTAATAGACTCTAAAAGGAAACTATATTTAAGAAGTGGCAAAATGTAAAGACTAAGGATCCAACAGCAAAAATTCATAAACTCCAACAAACCCCAATTATTAAAGCTCATGTTTCCATGGAATGCTCCTATCACATTTGGTCTAATTGTTTTGGTAGCTAATTAAGTCACCCTGTGGGCTCTCTTTATCCTTAAAGCTTGGGCCCCCTACCAGAGCAAAGATACTCTACCAGACGTCCTGCACCTGTGGTAGAGCATCTTTGCTGTCCCTAGGACTGCACTGTTCTGGACTGACATTTCAGATGTTGTTTCTGGGATCTCCTTTAGCCACTTGCCCAGTTTGAGGGCACCTACCCAAATACTCCAGTTACCACAGGAGCAACTCTTTCTCTCAGTCATTGGTAAAATGCCCCAAATCTTGTGGACAAATGACCCTCTTTAAATGAAGGGACAACAATGTTATCTGAAATCTGGCCGGTACAAAGTGTGGATGGTTTTGAAGGGGTGACACTGAAAAAGAAGGAGAAGTCGGTTAATGTTCTGAGTGTTCTGAAATATCCCTCATGCTGATTGCCAGCGATGAGGAACAGGTGAAGGAGGCAGGTGTGGCTCAAGCCAGCGTGGAAAAATACCACACACTCTCTCGGACTTTATACAGTCCGAGAGAGTGTGAGACACTGGTTTAAAGTGTTATAACACTTTAAACCAGTGGGTCAATTACATATCATTAGCGTGCATGCAGTTTCTAAGTGTATTTTATTCTTATCCTGCAATTGCACTTTTGCGTAATTTATGTTTTATGGGGAGTTTAGATAATATATTATAGTGTTTACTATTAACACATAGATAACATCACTATAAGCACGGAGTCAGCGGTTTGCTCTGGACTCTGCAGCTGCAGTTAGCGGTCAGCACATTCAGCACAGCAAACTTTTGTTAATCTTCTTACACCTTTACACACACATATGCGCACACAAGGCAAACATAACTAAATTTGGTCTCTTACATACAATTGTGACATTTTTCAATTAGTCACAGTTGGATATTTTGTATAGATGTTCTCTTTGATTTGGTGGCTGCACTCCAGTGTTAACCTTCATCGTTAAGTCAAGCATTAACAGGTGGATTACAGCGTGCTTCTCGAAAATATCCCAGCAGGTGAATACTGTGCGGACACACTCACTACATCCAGTGTGCCTGTGTCTCTGTTAGAGGAAGTATGTCTGGTGCCTGATTGTGCGCCTTTATTCCTGTCTGTTCTTCCTCTTCACACAGAGCCTGCTAGAATTAAAAGCTAGCCGGCTAATTAGTGTTTGGCCTCTGCTTCTTCTCTAACCACCCCCTGGTGCTC